GGCTGAGCTCCTGAAGGGCTTTGTGGGAGCAACAGTAAGCAATCTAGACTTTAATCGGAGTGAGCAGTCGCTGGAGGGTGGCCAGTGGAGGAGTGACACGAGCTGCTGAGTTGAGGAGAGACTGCAAAGGACAGGAGAGGCAGGGAGGCAGGGGGGAGCGTGGCAGGGGCCAGGGCAGAGGCAGGAGCAGCCGGACCCTGACAGGTTCCGAGGAGGGGCTGGCATGGCCTCCTGCTGGGCTGGGCATGGGGGTGAGAGGAAGAGGCACCAAAGACACCCCAAGGCTGGCCTGAGCCACCGAAAGGATGGAGGGCATTGACTGAGAGGAGGACCAAGGGGCGGGTGGGCAGGGTGAGCCTGGCATCTGGTTGTGGACATGCTAAGCCAGAGATGCCTGCCAGGCATTCAGACGCGGAGCCTGAGTGGGCCAGGGGACAAGTCCGGGGGAAGGGGACAGGTCCAGGCTGAAGTCATCTGCATGGAGATGGTGTTTAAAGACATAGGATTCTCCACACACAGGACATTCATGGACCTTCTCAGCCACATTACTCCTAAGAGTCAGAAAGTTCAAACAACCCAAATGCCCATCGACTGGTGGATGGATAAACAAAACGTGGTCCAGGCACACAGGGGAATAGAATTCAGCCACAGAGAATGAAAAGGGCCAGGCAGGGTGGCTCATGCCTGTAATCCTAGCACTTTGAAAGCCGAGACAGAAGGACTGCTGAGTCCAGGAGTTCGAGACCAGTCTGGGCAACACAGTGAGGTCCCATCTCTACAATAAATCAAAAAGTCAGCCAGGCCTGGTGGTACACACCTGTAGTCCCAGCTACTTGGGAGGATGAGGCAAGAGGATCACTGGAACCCAGGAGGTCGAGGCTGCAGTAAGCTGAGATCATGCCACTGCACTCCAGCCTGGGTGACAGGCTAAGACCCCAACTCAAAAAAATAATAATAGGGAATGAAGTACTGGCATGGGCTACAACATGTATGAGCCTTGAGGACACCGTCCCAAATGAAACAAGAACAGATGCTGCGTGATTCCATTGTATGAAACATCCAGAACAGGCCAATTTACAAAAGAGACATGGGGAGAGGCTGCTGGTGGCCCTGGGGTCTCCTCTGGGGTTGATGAAATGCTCTAAACTTACAGCAGTGATGGGTGCACAACCCTTGAATATACTTTTTTAAAAAGATCACAGAGTGGACGAGGCCCCCACAGGAGCAAGTCCAGATGGAGGAAAGGTCTGAGGATGGAGCCCGGGCCCACCTACACTCTATGCTCTCGGAGACGAGGAGGCAGCAGAGGAGACCAAGTGGCCAGAGCGTGGCAGCTGCCCCCGTCAGACAGGATGTACCCCTCCATTCTGCCCCAGGACGGCCCCTACCCTGCCAGTCTACCTTGCTCCCAGGACAAGCCAGGTCCTCGCAGAGCCTGGCCCAGGACTGGAAGCTGTGAGGTGTAAAGCCTGAGTCTGTCTTATTCACAACTATAGATCCCAACCGGCACCACAACAAGATCTGTGCCCCCAGAGGGTCAGTGATGGCCGGCGTCCCCTCAGGGACCTGCCAGCTGTGCACCAGGGACATCACCCCAAACCTGAATCATTTCCCTGGAAACGACCATGGAAAACTCAACAAATCCTGAAATGCCAACTGTCTATCCCGGGCCTGGGCTGAAGAGCCGAAATAGAATGTTCCAGCTATTCTTAGGTGATGTTCAAGTTCAGCTTTCTGGGGCTGTTCCCAAAGAGGCTTTCATTCTTGCCTCTTCCCTCTTCCCACCCAGGATCCTTGACCCTGGGCGTCCACGAGTCGGAGTTCAGCTCCAACAAGGGGGCTCAGAGGCTCCAGGACACCTGCGCGGGCGTCTGCATCTGCAAGGGCTGGAGGGGGCAGCTGGGGTTTGAGCTCAGCTGCCCCCAAGCCCACAGGATCATCTTTCAAAACCCACTAGAAACTGTGACAAAGAGGAGGAACTGGGGGAGGGGGCCACGGGCATGAAGCATTCCCCTCAGTCCCGGGTGTTGGTTGATGCAAACATTCGGGTTGTGGGTGCCAAAGGCCAGGACACTCAGCACTTCTGTCAGGCAGGAGCATGGCATGCCCCATAGGAATCAAAGGCCCTGCTGGCGGGCCCCCCAGTCACCGATAAACACAGCTGGAGACGGAGGAAACAGAGTGTGCCTCCTCAGAGAGCAAACAGGCAGTGTCTATAGCCATCTGGTCAGGACGGCAAACCCACAGCCGCTCCGTTGCAGTTTCCTGGGCCATCACCTCCATGGGTCAACAGGCGCTTTTGCCCCTGCTCTCTCTATCCTTCCGAGAATCCAGAGAGCCCAGGAATCCCACTCTGGCCCCCAGGGAGATGGGAGTAGGCCTCAGAAATGCCTGGGCCTCACATCAAGTTGTGAGTCTGCCCACGGACTCGCAGGTCCAGCCCCATTGGTTGCTAAAATGTGTCTCGGAAGTTCATGCTCCAAGTGCCTGCTGGACCCAGACTTTCCCAAGAGCCAGAAACCAAACCTCGGCTCAGCTCTGAGATGACATTGGTGGCTCCTCTCGCAGGTCAGATGTTCAAGGTTTTGAAACCCCAAAAAGAAGGAGCAGACCAACCACTGGGCCACAAAGCACTGGGCCAGCGACCTTCTTAGACCCACCTACGGCACTGAGGAGGGCAGCATCCCTGGTACCCAAGCACTCTGGCAGCTGAACTCCCCAAACGCCTCTCCACAGGCAGCGCAACAGTATGGTCAGGGTGGCAACTCGTCAGACAGCCCGGGCTCAACTCGTGGCTCTCACTGCACACTTGCCATGTGGGCTCAAGTGGGCCACATCCTTTCCCTGGGCCTCAGTGGCCTCATCTCCAAAATCATCATCGCACCTACCCGGATGAGTTGCTAGAAGTAAGTCAGCACATGTCTGTTCATCAGGACAACCCCTAAGTACTATCACCACAAACTTTGTACTATAAATGAGAGACAATGAGGCACAGGAGAACAAAGTGATTTGCCCAAAGTCACACAACAAGTAAGAGCCAGAGCTTGAATTCAAACCCAGACAGCTTATGATGCAAAGCCTGGCTCTCATCCAAGTGTCAGCAAATTTCTTCTACAAAGGGCCAAATGGCAAATATTTTAGGCTCTGCTAGCCACATCCGGTCTCTGTTGCATATTCTTTTGGGGATTTTTTTGTTTTCTTTTTCTTATAACCCTAAAAAAGGAAAACACCAGGCTGCGCATGGTGGCACATGCATGAAGGCCCAGATACTCAGGAGGTGGAGGCAGGAGGATCTCTTAAGGAATTCGAGGCTGTAGTGAGCCATAACTCTAGCCTGGGCAACAGAGCGAGACCCTGTCTCTAAATATAGACGAAATCTACATGTAAACGCCATTCTTAGCTCTCATCGGTTGTATATAAACAGGTCATGGGCTGGCCCTCAGGCCACAGTTCTACCAACCCTTACTCTCACCTACCACAGTCGACTGCCTCCCAAATGCTGGTGATGAATCCAAGCTTGGAAGGCACGCCCAACAGATGGAATGGAACACGTCTGCAGGCCCAATTTGGTCCAGAGGCAACCAGTTCACAAGTTCTACCAACGCATCCTCCATGCCAAGGTAAAAGGCTGAGCTACAGCATTTCCCACACCCGTTCAGAGCTCAAAGCCAGGGTGAGAACAGCTGCAGAAGTTCCTTTTGCGGCAACCGGGATAAGCAGCAGAAACCCGGAGGAGGCACATGAGAACTGGCCCCTCCCACCCCCACCGCTGCGCAGGACAGAGGCCTGCCTTGGGTCTGGTCCAGCTCAGAGGCTTGGGCATCACCCATCTTCTCCAGCAGAAAGCTAAGTTCAAGAATGCCCTAGCATCCTTCCCCTCCACTTGCCCTCCTGGTTTATGAGGTGAAGATACACGTGGCCTCTGTGAGCAGGTGCATGAATGAGGCCCTACCAGCCAAAGTAACCAGCAGGGAAGCCGCAAAGCAGCTGTCGGATGTAAGGCCCTGGGACAGAGCCAGGACAGGCTCCCACCAACAACCACTGCTGCAGCCATGCCCAAGGGCTGACAGCCCCGGGCTGAGAGAGCCATGAAAGGTGGCAAAGCCATCCATCCAGCCTGAGATGCACCCTGCCACCAGCCTGAAATGAGAATCAAGACTTCTACACCCCACACAAGCAGTAAATCTTCCCCTACTCTGCCTAACCACGACTAAGCCAGGTGTGGTGGCAGGGAAGGAAACAGCAGGTGTGTGGATAGCTGCGGTCTATCTACCCAAACCTCTGTCTGCCCCACCACCACCTTCCACAAATAGCCCAGATTTTGGTGGGGGGGTGCTCCATCTGTCCCCACTGTCAGGGCTCCAATGTTCAAGGTTGGCACATGTGAACCAAGTCTGAGCCAACTTAAACTTTATTACTCTGAGTGACTGGTTCAGGAGTGGAGCACATGACCTGGATCTCAGCCAATCAGAACACAGTTGTGTTCTGATTGCCTTGCTCACTGTCACTGGATCAGAGTGGAGGGCAGGACCCTGCCTCAGCCAATCAGAGCACAGTAGTACCCAGATCATAGTGATTGACTGGGGTAAAGCACAGGTGTAAAGGCTTCATGTAACTGGTCCAGGTCAAAGCACATGACTCAGGCCCAAACCATCTGGAATACCATCTTGCCCCAGTCACAGATGGCCGAAGCTCACATGACTCTCAGGACTTTCCTCAGCTATTAAAAGAGGTTCACTCTTTCCCACTGACCTTAAACTTGAGAGGGTGTGAGGTCAGAGTCATTACAGCCATCTGCTACCACAATGAAAATAACCCTGAACAGTGGAGAGGGGAGTGAACAGGAGAGAAACAGACAGGGCCCCAGTTCAGATCCAGCCCAGCCCAAAGACAACACTGCTAGACTCCTCAGCTACTCAAATTAACATTTTACCTCTTGCTGAAGCCAATGGGTTTTCTGCCCCTTCAAAGAAAGGAAAGGTGTAGGGTGAATGTCTCACCTTAAGGAGGAGCGGGTACTTGCAGATTCTCTGAATCGGAGACAACAGGTAGCCCTCCAAAGGGATGTCCGTGGTCTTACGGCCTCCCAGAAGCATGCAGCTCTGCAGAGGGAAAGGAGACCTTCATTAAAACTTGCCAAGGACAGCACAGGGCCATGGCTACTCTCAAATAACCATGGGAAACACTCTCAACACAAAGTGGCTGGGCACGATGGCTCACACCTGTAATTCCAGCATGTTGGGAGGCCAAGGTGGGAAGACTGCTTGAGCCCAGGAGTTCAAGACCAGCCTGGGCAACATAGCAAGACCTCATCTCTACAAAAAAAAGAAAATTACCTGGGCGTGGTAAAGCATGCCTGCAGTCCCAGTTACTTGGTAGGCTGAGGTGGAAGGATCGCCTGAGCCCAGGAGGTTGAGGCTGCAATAAGCCATGACCGAGCCACTGCACTCCAGCAGGGGCAGCAGAGTGAGACTCCAACTCAAAAAAAAAAAAACCTGCAAAGGTGAAATCAACTGGGAAACAACATGGCATCCCGCAGAAGAAATGGAAATGCCCACATTCTACAACCCAGCACAAGGCCTAGGTCAGGGATGGCCGGCAGTGGCCTTGGGGGCTGAACCTGGTTTCTCCCTGCTGTGGAGCACAGACAGCCACCTCCATCACCTACTGCCTGTAGCTGCTCTCAAGCTACCATGGCAGAGCTGGGCTGTGCACCAAGAGCCTCAGAGCTGCAAAACCTCAATGATTTACCATACGTGGCCTTTTACAGAAAGGTTCACCAACTCCTGGTCTAGAGAAATTTCCACGTATACACACCAGAAAACAGAGACAAGGACACACAAAGCTGCCTTGTTTAGTAAACCTAGGAAGCAGTCTGAAGAGTCGTCACCTGGAGGATGGAAAGAGACAGCTCTATTTTTGTTTCAACTTGTTTGTCGCAGACTTCTCCAAGGGAATACTACACAGTGGTGAAAACGGGAGAACCATGGCCTTGGGGGAGAAAAATGGAGAAACCCAAACCCACTCTTGTGCCAAGAAGAAAAACAGAAGGATATGTACAACATGAGCCCATTTATGCAAATCTTTCAAAGACATGGAGAACAAAGTCAGGCACTGCGTTGGGACAACACATGCATAGTCAGCCCTAAAGATGCACATGGAAGGAAGCGCACCAAGTCCAATGGGGTGACCTCCGAGGTGGGAGGGGACCGAGCTGAAGGGCGAACTGGGAATCTGCAGCTGTCTCCTAAAATGCTCCAGTCCGTCCCCTGCGAGGGGTGCGTGAGTGCTCTCGTAGGAAGACCCGCATTTTGGCTTGCAGAGTTCCACATTGGCATCTCTCAGGAATGAAACAGTTCCCCTGACTCCCATACTCAGCCCCCAGCTCCTGTCCACACTGGTAAGTGCAGCCTCCTCTTCATCCACACTTCACGCAGCCCCCTCGCCTCTGCTTATTCCATACCTCCTGCCTGGGATGCGTTCCCCCCCACCCCACCCCCAAGGAAAAAAATAACACTACACTGACTAAGCACTCACCACGGCCTGGGAGCTCCAGCCACCCTCTCACAGACCACCAGCGACCCTACCAACTGAAAACTAATATTCCCATTTCACAGCTCAGACCACTGGGGTGTGAGAGATTTAGGCTTTCACCCCAAGGCCCCCCAGAAAAACGTGAGCCACAGCAGTGGGGTCCAGCACAGAAATGGCCTTGAAACCACAATGCCAAGCTTCCCTTACCCCGTGCCCATGCATGCCCAAGCCAGCCCAGCCACCCTGCTCTCAGTTCCCAAGACTCCTTCCTCCTAAAGCCTCTATTGGAGGTCATTTCTTCCACGTGGCTGTCAATCACATCCCAGATACTGTCCTTCCTTTGCAGCACATTTTGTTTGGCAAGAAACACAACTTCTATGGTGGTCTCCTGTTGTGCCCCTCATAGTCCTGGGTCCCCAGGGCTCACGATGCACCCAGTATGCATACATGAACTAATTAACAAACACTCAGGGATGAACCAACTGTCTGCACACCCAGCAACGAAGGCCTCAGTCTTCCTCCTCAACACACCCAAGCAGAGCGGGTATGAATCAGGTCACTCAGGAAAAGGGACTCCCATGCTCTCATTCATTCATTCATCAGCTACACGTGGTGTACTTACTACGTACCGTGCAGAGTTCCAACACTGAGGGGCTGCCCAACAAAACAAATTCCCTCCTTCCAATCAAGTGAAACAGGACCGGAGCGCCCTCCTTGTGAGCGTGGCACTGTGTCTCGGGCTTCACAGACATGTGTGGCTCACGCTCTCAGTCTTGGAAAGTACGCATGGACTGCCATCTTCCTATCCACGTGGGGAAACCAAGGCACAAAGAACCAGCCCAGAGCTCCCTCCACTGCCTTTCAGGAATCATAGCAGGCACTCCTCTTGGAGAAGCACAATTCCAGGGACCCCAGGTCCCTGCTCTAGCGAGTTGCACTCCCCCATCCCACATCTCCCATCCCCCATGTCTACCCCTGGCACTGACCGGGGATCAAGGTTGTGGCAGCTGGGAGACACCAGGCCCACACTGCTCACACCCAGGCCTTTGTCCTCCAAGCCAGCACTCACCACAAGCTGCCCCTGTGATGTCAGCTCTGGGCAGAGAGCGGCAGCCTGGGGGTGGGGAAGTGCTTTCCAGAAGCCCCAGGGCTTGGCGGGAGAAGAGCCCATCTCTTTGTCCAGGATCAAGGAGTTTTCACCAGATTGTCACAGCTACCAACCACACTCCCCACACTTTAGATGGTTGTTTCACTTTCTTTTCTTTAATAAAAAAAAAAAAGCAAACACACACAGAGCTAGCATTCACCACTCTATTACACTGCAGGCACTATGGGAAGAACTTTGAGAATTAGCTCCTTAAACCCTAATTCCCAGGCATGATTCAGGGGAGGGTCAATATCATAGTCTTCCCAGCCTCCTAATGGCAGCGTTTCCCTGGGCTGTCCTAGGTCCTCCATTCTTCCTCCCTGGCTGATCCCACCCTCAAATGCCATCTTTATGCTGAAAATGTTCAGATTTTACCTCCAGCCCGGCCCCTTTCCCGAACTCCAGATTCGAACCTCTGAGATCCTGCCTGACCTCCCCACCCAGATGTGTCACAGGCACCTTTAACTTCACATATCCTCAGGGGAATGTTTTACTTAACTGTTTTACCTGCTCCTACCCCAGCCCCCACCCTTAAATGTAACTCCTTTCTTCCAGTTGCTGTGCCCAGAACCCTGGGTCTATCTTTGACTCCTCTCACTCACTTACACCCCAAAGTCAACTCTTGGGCAATTACTGTGTCAGTGGGGTCTTCAAACTCCATGTGGATTCAACCACCCCCTCACCACTCCCTCCCTGTTCTCAGCCACCATCACCTCCCGCCTGGACTGCTGCAGTAGCCCTGCGGTAGCCTCAGTGATGTTCTCCAAAATGCCAAGCCTACCCAAAACTCTCAGATGTGACCCTATTTGGAAATAGGGTCTTTACAGATATACAGTAAGTAGTTAAGATGAGGTCATACTGGATTAGGGGGACCCTCATGACTCGAGTCCTTATCTAACAGAAGGAGAAGACACAGAGTAGAAGGCCAGGTGAAGACAGAGGCAGAGGGTGGAGCGTGAGGCCACCAGAAGCTTGAAGAGGAAAGGCAGGACCCTTCCCTAGAGCCTTCGGAGGCAAACCACCCTGCCAACACCTGGATTTCAGACTTCTGATCTCCACACCATAAGGGGATAAACGCTGTTGTCTTAAGCCACCCAGGTCGTGGGAATAGCCAGGGAAGCCTGAGGAAATGTATAACAAGCCTCCTCCCCGGCCCCTCGCTCCCACCCTGGCACAGCCGAGGGGGCCCTTCAAAATTCACATCAGTTCGAGTCATTCCTCTGCTTAAGACCCTCCAGGGCTTCCCACCCCACCCAGAATAAAACTGCCGGATCTCTGAAGCACTGCCACATGCTCTGACGTGGGTGAACCCCACAGACAATATGCTGAGCAAAAGAGGTCATAGGCAAAGCATCCTGGGTGGTTCTATTCACCGTAAAACTCTAGAACAGGCAAAACCAGCCTTTGGTAAGAAAAATCGGCAGAGTGGATACCCCTGGAGGCAAGAGGGGCACGACTGGGAGGGGCATGGATAACCTTCCAGAAAGATGCAAATGTTTGAGCTCATGATCTTGGTAGTAGTTTCACGGGTGCAGACATAAACACTCATCACCCTGTGAGTGCATCACTGCATATATACGATCCTTCAATTAAAAAGCACTTGAAAAGTTTCACTCTTTCCACTGACTAAACGCTCCTCCACTACCTGGCTTCTTTCGACCTCTCTGACCTCATCTCCTCCCACTTTTCCTCTCAGGCCCTCCATTCTAGCCACTCTGGCCTCCTCGCTATTCCTCACACACTTCTGCCTCAGGACCTTTGCACTTGCCATTCCTTTACCTGGACTACTTTCCCTCCAGACCCCTCCACCTCTCACTCTCCCTCTCGCTTATCCATATATCTCTGCTTAAATCCTACCCAAAACAGTCTTCCCAAAGACCAATCTAGAGCAGCAGCCACCACCCTCACTCCCTCAAAACATCCTGTCATTCTTAACGCACTATATTTCCTCCAGAGGACTTAACGTCTCAGGATCGACATTTAAGTCTCCCCATGCCACTCCATGAGGACAAGGACTTTTCTCGCCTTGCTCGCTGTTGTATCCCCAAGACTGAGAGTGATCCCTACCACATGACGAGTGCTCAAGAAGTTGTTGGATGAATAAACTAATAAATCACTCCATTTTACAGACAAGAAAAATGGAGGCAGAGAGAGAGAGAGAGAAAGTCACCGTCCCATCACTCAGCTAGTGCACATCATAAATAAGAAGTCAGATTCTGTCTGCTCCCAAAGCTTTAGCACCCCAGCAGGCTCACGACAGCTCTTCTGCAGGGGGCCAAAAGCTGGGAGATGCCAGCAAGGAGGGAGACAGATGGCACACACGCTGGCACCCCACACGTCCTCCCCACCCAGCCCGGCCCACCCAGCTGCCACTTGGAACCCACCAGGAAGACTGCATGAGAGAGAGGAAGGCAAGAAAGAAACACCGGCCCTTTCCTTCCCACGCCGCTACACACACCTTCCTGGCATCTTCCTGCTTCCCGGGGACCCAGCAGAGCCCAGTAGACACCTTCAGAGGGTGAGACCCTTGGCCAGGAAGCCCAGAGCCCACGGGGACTATCGCAGGTAGCACTACAAGTCGACATCACTGCAGAGCACGGCCACCTCTGTCCGCGTGTGGGCCTGCACTAGCACGACCTCATCTCTGCACCGCGCCCAGACTGTTTTATGACCCGAGGTGCAAACGTGGAAATGTGAAGGCGGATGCCGGTGAGGGAAAGCATCCGTCCCAAAAGCATCACTCGCTGGAGCCAAAAATGGAACTCAGTCAGGCTATCTGCCCTCCCTCAGATGCTGGCTGGAACCAGACCAAGCTGCACGAATTCACTTGTGGAGGAAACATGCAACTCTCTCCATCGAAATCCTGGAAATACTCTGCCGGAGACCGTGCACTAAGGAGAAATGCAATTAGGAATTTTACTGCACGGTTTCGCCTCTGGGAACATGGTTAAATATCCTGACACTATGTTGGTTCATGATTCCACTTTTGTGAGCTGAATTCTCTCAGTGGTGCTGGAAAAACCAATGGCGTGGGGTGGAGGGGATGGGTATGACTGAATAAGAGGGGCTTGAGGGTCAGAGACGGGGACTGGAACCCTAGTAAACTCTATCGCATTCCAGGTGAGAGCCCTGAGAAAGTCACTAATATCTTGAAGTTATCAAAATCGCCTGTGGTAAGACAATAGAAATTTTAGTTGGGCACACAGCTGTCCAGAATAAATTCTCTCTCTCCCAGCCTCCCTTGCAGTGAGGTGTGGCCACATGGTCAAATTCTGGCCCATGGGATGTAAGTGAGAGAGGTATGCATAGCCTCCTGTTATGCCCTTACAGGGAGACGGTTGGGCTCTCCTTCCCATGTCTCCTGCACCCTGCTACCTAGAAACTGGACATGATGAGAGGTCATCTCACATCCTGTCAATGAGGAACGTACCCAGGGCCTTAGCCCTGACACTGGAGCCCCGATACTGTCTATCAACCCCAGACTGTCTACATCCACACTGCTCATCTGCAGGAGAAATACAAGGGGGACCCCCCAAAAACAAAATTATCTTATGGAGGGCAGGCCCCTTGCAGTACAGGTCTCCCTTTCTAGGTACGTGTTCTAGGAACCCACTGGCATCAATGCACCAGCTAGCATTGGTGAGAGAGGCTGTGTTCAGCTTCAGTGAGTTGTTTTGTTTGTTTTAAATTTTTTTTTTTTTTTGGAGAGTCTTTCAACACATTTGTCCAATTTGTGATGAGTGATTTACGAGTGCACCTGCCCACACTGCACTAAGTGTTCAAGAGATTTGACCAAAAACAGCATGAACCCCATGCCCTACCCTCCCTATTCACCTGACCTCACCCCGAGCAACTTTTTTTGTGTTTCCCTGGATGAAAAAGAGTCCTCAAAGAGAAACGTTTCACCAACATGAAAGAAATTAAAAAAAAAAAACAGCAGAACACTAAAAGACATCCAAATCGGTAAGTTCAAAAGTTGTTTTGAGCAGTAGAAAAAGTGTCTTGATAGGTGTATTGCATCAAACAAAGAGTACTTTGAAGGCGACAGAAGTTTAAACACATAAGACTAAATACACAATTTTTTATAAATAAATTCCAGGTATTTTGGGGTCTCCCTTGTAAATGTCTACCCTGTATAAACCACTGTTATTTGAGATGCCTGCAAAGCAGATAAATGTTTACCTTAACTCATACAAAACAGACAGCAGTTTGAAGGCTCAATGGAGGTCACACATGAGACCCTGCTTCATACGTGAGGGAAGCTCTCTCCAAGTGTAGAGAAGACCATCATGGACATCCACTGTTTGTCCATTCCCAGCTTTCTTACTTGCCTTCCCACAAACGCAAACTGACTGTCTTCAGGGATCCACTCTACCCTTAGACCCAACGGCATGAGTGAACTTGACCCCGCCCTCCATCTCCAAAATGACCAATCAGAACGCCACCCAAACCCTCCATCTACAGCAGTTGGTTCAGGGATATGGTTTTGAGCCAAGCTGAGCCAATGAGCATCAGACCCAGGATTTTTGCTGTTACTATAGGGTAAGGGGAGTTCTCTTAATCCCAGAGTTGCTCAGTCATCAGAGGGATAAGTTTGGAGCTGCTGGAGGCCACCCTGCCACCACTTGGTGGGAGCCGGCCTGGGAACAGAGCCAAGGCAGAGAAAAGTAGAGGCAAGAGACACATTCCTCATGGTGTCATTTGAACACCCAGACTCTGCCATGTCTGTAACCCTCTCGGGTCTTCAACTTCCCAGAAAAGTGAACAAGTAAATTTTTTGATTTTTTTGCTGGTGTTGTTTTGCTTAAGTCAGTTTTAATTGGATTTTCTTTTATTTATAACTAAATAATCTTAATACTACTGACAATTCTAATAATAGTGGTAATAATAACTACTCTTGCTACCACTTTTATTAGAACCATTACTGTAGACCAGGAATGGGCAAAATTGACCCTAATCTAGCTTTCTGCCTGTTTTTGTCAATAAAGTTTTATGGTAACACAGCCGTGCTCATTCCTCTGCATAACAGTTATGGCTGCTTTCGTACTACAACAGTGTGACTGGAGTCGTCACGGCAGGAACTGGGTGGTAGGCAGAGCCAAAAATATTCACTAGCTGACCCTTTCCAGAAAAGGCCTGCCGGTCCCTGCTTTAGATAGGAGATCACCCTGAGGAAGGTCCCAGGCATCAGGAGGCAGCATGAAGTCTCTTGTACCCAAGAGTCCCAGAGCTGACGCAGAGCAGGAGGGAGGACCCAGCTGAAGGGAACACTCACCAACAGGAAGGCGCGCACGGTGGGGATCTTGTTCAGCTCTACCAGCAGCCTCAGGGCCTTCTCGTGGTTGCTGCAATACTCCTCGTACACGCAGAACTTGTCCTTCTGCAAGACAAGGACAGAGCTTATGGGAGACAGGTCATGGCAACAAGGCAGATGTCCTGCAAGGTGCTGACGGCTGGGCCAGTGGGCCTGAGGGAGAGGAAGACCCCAGACCCCAGAGAGGCTCTGGTCGGCAGATCTTGGGCCAGGATGCTCCATTCACTAGGACCCTGGACCCAGGAGAGGCTTCAGTTGGCGGATCTTGGGCCAGGCAGGTCCACTCACCCCAATTCTAACCTTTCGGGGGAGCAGCACAGCTCAGGAGTCAAAGCAGACTCAGGTCAAGGAGCCTGGGCTTGAACCCTGGCTCTGCATCTCCTAACTATAGACTAGGCAGATTACCTGACCTCCCTGTGCCTCAGTTTCCTCATCTGTATGGCAGAGTTAATATGAATCCCTAAATCATGGAGCTGTCATGGCAGGAAGACAGCTCTGGTGACCCCCGGATGCCCTGAGCCCAAGCTGGACTCTTTTAGCCTGGAGGTCACCTGTGGCTCACCAGGTATGTAGCCATCAACCAAGGTTTCCGGAACTGGAAGGGACAAGGGCTTTTTGGCAGGAAGCTCTCAGCTGAGCATTCCTGGTTCCAGACAGTTCACAGAACCCACCAAACCCCCAACAAGGATGCCCTGGGTGAGGCCGCTGGAAGAGGAAGGGCTGCGAGGCCCCGACCCTGGGCTGGGGGAGGGGTGTGAGAGACCTGAAGAGGCTGAGGAAGGAAGGGGTGGGTCTGCAGAGCAAGCAGCTCATCTTGCTTCTGAAAAAGCCCCAAGCAGCCCTTCGGTGGAGGCTGCAGGAAACAGGAAATCAGAGAGAAGGGAGAACTGGTAAGAAAACCAAGAGCGGTTCCAGCCTGCCCTGGCTCACCCTGGGGGCTCTGTGTATACCATCTGAGCAGACACCATGGGTAACGCAGTGTGGGCATTGGGCACGAGGCCGGGCCACACTGTGCCCTCTTGGAATCATGACACCAACATGACGTGTGCACCGGGCATGAGGACAGGCCACACCGTGCCCTCTCAGGATGATGACAACCAATATGGTGTGTATACCAGGCACAAGGACAGGCCACACCACGCCCTCTCAGGATGATGATGTCAACATGGCATGTGCACCAGGCATGAGACGGGCCACACCGTGCCCTCTCGGAATGGGGATAAGCTCACTCACTCCCTCACTCCTTGCAACCACCTTGCACGGGAATTGCTGGAGGAGACCCATTCCGACACAGGAAAAGCAAGGAAGAGTCACTTGCCAGGACCTCACAGTCAGTGAAATGACAGAACCAGGACTCAAATGCTCTTAACCCCCATGCCAGTGTCCAGCTAGATGTCGCGGCACGGGACAGGGATGGGAATGGGAAGCAGATACATGGGATACAAATCTCAAGCCACAAACCCACAGACTGCGCTCCGAGGGCCCTGTGGCATAAGGAGGAAGTGCACGAGCGATTCTAGAAACCCAGCTCCACACTCCCTAAGTTGTGGATGACCTTGGGCACACAGCTTCACCTCCTTATGCCTTGGTGTCCTCTTCTATAAAATGGACATCATAGCTGACCCCCACACATAGGCTGCTGGAGGTTTAAACAGCTTCATATATGTAAAATGAGAAGAACAGTGCCTGGCACACAATAAGCACCACATAAGACTTCAAAATGCCCTACAAGTATTAGCTACATACATAAACCCAATCAACAAACATGACTCAATGGGGAAAAACACCAAAAGAATGCTACAGCCACCCAGAGTGCACACACACTTACGCACACCACAGGACGAACAGGACACATACTCCGAGGAACTGCCCAATGAGCTTAAGCACCACAGCACACAAGCTACAGCACACCCCCACCATCAGCATGCACACAGAAACACACAGTCACAAGCCAAGTATCTGCTGCCACCAAGATGCCAACACACACACACACGCACGGCGCGGAAGGAGGAGAGGGAATCCAACGTCCCCACACAAAAAAGGTCAGGCAGAACTTTTTCTGTTTCCACTTCTCTCAGATGAGCCTAACGAACCATCGAGGCCAAAGGCGCTGGGTGAGGAGATAAAGCCTCCCCAGCCACGGATTAAGCCCATGTGAGGGGCTGCTGGGCACAACTGGAATGGGGGCCTTACCTGCAGACCAAGGGGAAGCAGGCTGCAGGGAAGGGGGGAGGAAGAAAGAGAACAGCTTTCTTGTTGGTGACAGGAACTGGCCTGTGTCTGGAGACCCGGGCCTGCAGAGGAGGCCTGCAGGCGACAGGGAGGGTCTGGCAATGAGTGCAGGCACATGAATGGCAGGAGGAGGACCCCATCAAAAGTAAGGAGCTAAAACACAGTCCCTCTGCAGCCAAGAGCCTGGGCTTTCCCTGGGCCTGCGATCCCACTATTAACACTGCTCTCAGATATGACGGGAAAAGCCCCCACGACTGCACTCACCAACACGACCAGCATCCACCTCACAGGTGCCAAGAACAGGTTCTGCGGCCAGACTGCCCAGGGTCAAGCCCTCTGATCACCAGCTCTGTGACCCTGGGCAAGACAAATGACATTTCTGGACCTCTGAATTCTCATCTATTAAGGATGGCAAGCACATCACCTCGGCCTCCCAAAGTGCTGGGATGATAGGCTGAGCCACCGAGCCCGGCTGGCAGGCAGATTTTGAGCAATATGATATGGCTCGGCCCCCAGTATGCTTCACTTCCTATTTGGGTACTGGCCTGCTCCCTCAGCATCCCTGGACTGTGAGCTCTGTGGGGACAGGGTTTGTATCTGTTGATGTCTCTGCTGTGGTGCCAATGGAGACAGCTGTCCTGGCAGACAGCAGGTATGGTGACTGATGAACGCAAATAAGAAAACAGAGAGCCGGGCTCAGTGGCTCAGCCTGTAATCCCACACCTTTGGGAGGCTGTGGTGAGTGGACTGACTGAGCCCACAGGTTCGAGACCCGCCTGGGCAGCGAGACCTCATCTCTACAATA